ACCCACCTCGGAAGGATGGAAGGCTGAGTCATCCTTGAGCCGGTGAGATTTGAACCGCCGAACTGCAGATAGCAGTCAGCTGAAGTGGCCTGCAGTACTGCACTCTAACCACTACGCCACCTCGGCTCTTAAATTAAATTAAATTGTCATTTAGGTTGTAATAATATTTATAAACATATACAGTATTGTCGTATAGTAGATATTACATAATTTGCAATTAGAATTTTTGCAGCACACAATTGTTTCCTTCAAGCAAGTAAGCTCCAAACTTGTACATTTCAGGAACGTGCAGCAAAAGGGAAAAAAAAATGGGCCTGAAGTTCTGTGCTAGTCAGGCTTCACAGTTCTGGTTTTGGTGTGATATGGAAGCACAGAAGAGCAGAGAGCAAGAAAATGATAGTTTTCTAAAGTTTAAACTAGGAGAACAAGAGGAGGGTAGGCTGTTCTGCTTCGTGAATTGTTTTTTGAAAGACTGCCTACAGAGAGAAAGCAACTTGCTATGTTTTTAAAATCAGTTTTTGTTTACCCAGATTTTGAATTATTTCATATTTTAATACAATGTTGCTTAGTTACTAGGATATCTAGAAGAAAATAAAGAAGGCATAGGAAATATTAGCTGCCTGCAGTGTTCTTTATATTTTGTATCCTGCTTTTATTTTATAAATAATTGAAGGGGATTGAATTTACGGGTACCTAATATTCTTTCCTCCTTTTATTTTCCCCACAACAACCTTGTGAGATGGGTTGGGCTGAGAGAGGGTAGTTGGTTCAAAGTCATCCACCCCACTTTCATGCTTAAGTTGGACCTTGAACTCATCACCTACCGGTTTGAATCTCCCTTTGCAAATATTTCAGATAACAAGGATTTACACTGCTTGTTTTACTGAATTTATTCATAGTGGTTATGGCTACTGCTGCTGCGGCTTGGTGAGATTTGTAAGAGAGTAAGCTTGAGGAAAATTCAATTTAGTCCCAAATATATCTTTGCTCACATAATATAAAAATGCAACTTCATTTACACCGAGGTTGCAGCTTTAAGTACTGTATCAGCATATACTAGAACTTATATTGGTTTTACGTAAGGACACGAAAATTATGAAAGGCAGATGAATTGGGACAATAGTTTGGAATTATGACTGAATCCTGTAAATTGGAGATATTTTGCAATAGTCTGTCTTCATTTTTAGCTCATTTAGGACTTGTACATTATCATCTCACCTTTATTGGAATATTGGAATACCCTTTATTGGCCAAGTCCATACCCAGAAATTTGTCTCCTGTGCATAAGCATTTAGAATTATTACAAAGTTATCATTTTTTAAGTAATCACTCAGGGACAGTTAACCAGCATAGACTTTGCTTAGGCACTTATTTTAAAAGGAATATTATCTTGTTTTCTAGAAAAATGTTTTTTTATTTTCTAAGGCATTTGCTATTTCAATCCCATGCTATTCTATAATTCATAATTCTAGCTAGATTGTCAGGTGCCACGCTCGACTAAACCACGTCGCTGACATCATCAACAGGGCAACAACAGCGCGGAGACAGAAGCACGCTGTAAACCCTAAACCTAAAATTAAAACCTAAACCTAATCCCCCTAAACCTAACCCTAAACCTAACCCTAAACCTAACCCTAACCCTTAACCTAATCCTAACCCTTAACCTAACCCTTACCTTAAGTTGAATCGGTTTGCTTTCAAAGCGCTATTTAAAGCGCCCTTCTTTCTCCACGCTGGCTGTTGTTGCCCTGTTGATGACGTCAGCGACGTGGTTTAATCGGGCGCGGCTTAGTCGAGTGCGGTTTTGACGGGTCACGATCATTAATATCAGAACACCAAATGCAAAAGAAAAAAGCTTTGGGTAAAAATCTCTAAATAATCTCCAGGAAACCAGTTACTGTATATTTTTTTCTGACTTGAGTTTTAAATCATGCTAAACTCTGGTTTGTAGAATAATGTGTCCTCCCTGTGACTTTACACTGATGTCTCTTTGTGCTTGTTTACTTTCCGCGCAATCTAAACGTGTTTTGTTTGAAACAAAGTCTTGAAATAAGACTCAGAGAATTTATTGGAATTTATTATGATATAGGTACCTGAATGCCCAGCAGATGATATCAATTTGGTTGGCTCTAGCATCAGGGTTGTCATATTGGCAGCCCACAGGCCAGATGCATCACGGATAGGCCATGCCTACCCCAGCTCCATGAAGGGGGAAAATGTCGTGAAACATCACGGTTCCACCACAAAACCGCGCTCGACTAAACCGCGTAGCTGATGTCATCAACAGGGCAACAACAGCGCGGAGACAGAAGCACGCTGTAAACCCTAAACCTAAAATTAACCCCTAAACCTAACCCCCCTAAACATAATCCTAAACCTAACCCTAACCCTTAACCTAACCCTAAAGCTAACCCTAAAGCTAACCCTTACCTTAAGTTGAATCGGCTTGCTTTCAAAGCGCTATTTAAAGCGCCCTTCTTTCTCCGCGCTGGCTGTTGTTGCCCTGTTGATGACGTCAGCGACGCGGTTTAATCGGGCGCGGTTTAGTCAAGCGCGGTTTTGACGGGTCACGAAACATCACGTGAGGCAATATGACCGCGAGTTTGACACCCATGCTCTAGCTAATAGTTAGAAAGGAGATCCCTAGGAAAACCCAAACTTGAGAAAACTGAAGTGTGAGAAAACCCATCCTGGGTGAAAGTCAGAGGGGGGTTGCCAATTTACCTACTACCAGTTAGATTGCACTCGCATGCGCCGCTTTTGCGCATGTGCAGAAGTGTCCGGGAGGGTGGGCGGAATGTCCCGTCACTGCTACTACTAGTTTGCCCAATCCTCGCCAAACTGGCAGCAACCCACTCCTGGTGAAAGTTACTCTATTACTCTATTTTTATTTTCAAAATTAGCGGCATTAATGGAAAGAATAAAGAACTCTCAGCTTCCCAGTGATGAAATTGGTATGCTTTCAATCTACCAAAGTTCTTAAAAGATTTAACATATGTTTTCCCCTGTAGGATGTGTAATGAAGCTACACAGAAGAGATGTGAATATTACTGTAGAGCTGCCTTATTTGTTTCTGTTTTCTTGTGGTGCCTTTAAAACTTTTCTCTTTAGGAAGGTTTAATTTATTTCAGGATGGGGAAAAAGTTGGTTGTTGGATTTGGCAATGATGGGCCCAAGAACAAGCTTCAGAAGTGCTAATCTGTAGAAATCAGCCTCCATTTTGATCTCACTTTCTTTACTCTTATATTTTTTTAATGTTCTCTTCTGGGGGAAAGAATATAATCATTACCTGTTTATATCAGATGATATATTCTCACCTACTGTATATTGGAATGAACATGCACTAATGTACTACTTTGAACTTTCTTCATAGGGCCAAAATGGTGGTTTTTTCAAAAGAATATGGCTATGTGATTCTCACTGGTACTGCCAGTTTTGTCTTGATAACACACCTTGCAGTAAATGTGTCGAAAGCACGCAAGAAATATCATGTGGAGGTAAGCATGGGTGATTTTCCCAGAATTCCCCTACTTAGCTATTTCTGGAGGCAGAAACTCTAGCATTTCCTGAAAGGAAATGTGTGTGTGTGTTTGTAGAAATGTTGTGAATACTTCCAGTTGAATTATGTAAAATACTGTGCTTCATCTTTCAGGAAACAACGTTTTTAAAAATAATTAATATATTGTATAATAATAAAGAATAAACAGGTAAAACAAGTAACCAGTTTTAAAACATTCATAGCCCATGGGGAAGGAATTCAGAACTATTAAAAGATCCAGTGAGAATCTATCAACCTGATTTATATAGGGGGCCTTAGGTGTCTTTAATTTAAGAGCACAAATTTCGTTCCAATAAATTGGATCCATACCACTTACAATTTTGAAAGATAACGTGAATAAAGATTTGGACTGCAGAAATCAGTAAAGTCAGTAAGTGCCAATGAAGCGATAAGGCATTTCTCAAGGCATTACAACCACAGTTGGGGCTGGAATTTCCATTGCTTAGCAAAGTACCAGTAGTTAAAACATGATGCCATGAGACTATCACTTAGCAACAGCAATCCCTATAGTGCCAGCTGCCCTGACTTGTGGATCACCAAGTAGCAAGTGGATTGTGTAGCACATAAGCCCTTGAAGGCCAGTGCACGTTGCATGCAAATTGGGAGGTGCTGAAGTGCAGCATGATATCAAGGAGGCCAGGGAAAGAATATGCTGCAGCTCAAGGGCTATATGGCATGCCATGGCTCTGGGGCTGCAAGAAACTCCTGAGCTGCAACACAATGCAAAGTCTAACTCCAGTCTCATGAGGAAACTGCTATGTATGCTGTGGGGAAGAAAGCCTCTGGCATCTAGCAGCTACCTCATGAAGGGGCATGATAGCAGTCTGCAGTGTCTTAAGCGGCTGCCACAAAGAAGAGGGGGGGGGTCAAGATATTCTCCAAAGCACCTGAAGGCAGGACAAAAAGCAATGGATAGAAACTAATCAAGGAGAGAACCATCCTAGAACTAGGAAGAAATTTCTTGACAGTTACAGCAATCAATCAGTGGAATGGCTTCCTTTTAGAACAGTGGTTCTCAACCTGTGGGTCANAACTCCCAGAATTCCCCAGCCAGCATTCGCTGGCTGGGGAATTCTGGGAGTTGAAGTCCAGACATCTTCAAGTGGCCAAGGTTGAAAAACACTGCATAGAGCATCACGAAAGAACGAACATTGGAGTCAGAGGAAGAACTCGCGGCGCCCACAGGAACCTCTTTCTGCTCGGGGCGGAGCTATTTCAGGCTCTCTCCTGAAAGGTGTTGGGCTTCCCGCTAACAGGAGGAAGGTGACTCGGCTGAACGGCTGCTGTACGGTCCTACTGCCTTGGCCCTTTGATTGCCGAAGCAGCACGCAGAGAAGGGTGAGCGCCTGCCCTCTTGCAGGGAAAGCCTTTTCGAAGGCCGCTGGTAGGGGGACTTGGCGGCTAATCGTCGTAAAGACGCTTTCTTTGCCTGTCCTTCCCGGGGGGGGGGGAGTGGGGGGAATTGCTCCTGACTCCACACCTGTGAGACTGAGGCTGTTGAGCTCTTGAATTTACACCGGAATCGTCCTTGCAGACTTTAGCTCTGTCTGCTCTCTGCAAAACCTGCGGGAGGTCTGGAAGCGCTTTCATATTGTTCCCGACTAGCCAGCCGTATTTTAAAGTAGTATTTGGTGAGTGTAGCGTGAACCACAGTTCTGCTGTTTGTCACAAAATATGGATACCGCCATTGCTTATTTCTGTCCCTAAAGAGGTAGCAGTTAGCAATAGCAATAGCAGTTAGACTTATATACCGCTTCATAGGGCTTTTACCCCTCTCTAAGCGGTTTACAGAGTCAGCATATCGCCCCCAACAACAATCCGGGTCCTCATTTTACCAAGCCTCGGAAGGATGGAAGGCTGAGTCAACCCTGAGATTTGAACCGCTGAACTGCAGATAACAGTCAGCTGAAGTGGTCTGCAGTGCTGCATTTAATCACTGCGCCACCTCGGCTCAGTAGGTGCATTGTTTGGGACCAAATTCTTCCCCTCCGGGTTCTGCTTTAAAACTGTTGTTGTTGTTCTCACTGCCAGGAATTTTCCCTTTAGTTGAGGTTAGCTTGGCTGTGCTGTAGGTGTTTAGTGCTTGTATGGGGTGCTTACGCTTCTCATTATGGGGGAAAGTATCTTTCTTTTAGCCGAAATATAATGAAATTAGAATTTTTAAAAAAATAATTAAACATTTAAACATTAAAAAACAAAACACAAACTTCAAGTCATTACAGCATTTCCGTATTGGTATAATAAATATCATTCATATTTACATAAACTATTTCTATAGTTCATTAATTAGCAATAGCAATGGCAGTTAGACTTATATACCGCTTCATAGGGCTTTCAGCCCTCTCTAAGCGGTT